GTATAGCAGGGATTGTGGGGCTGGCGCGGGATCGGGCAGTGTTTCGTTCTGCTGTGCATGGGGTCACTATGAGTCGGAAACGACTCGACAGCACTTAACAACAACAACTCTCCACCCACCGTCTCTCACCCAACAGTCTCTCACAGTCTCTTTCCCAGCAGTGTGTGTCCCTCAGTGTCTCTCTCAGCAATGCGTGTCTCTTGCTTCTCTTTCCCAGCAGCGCTCGTCTCTCAGGAGCGCATTCCTTCTCAGCAGTAATTCCTTCTCACCCAGTAGCCAGAGAGTTCTGCCTCTAGAAGGCCTCCTTTTGAGCCTGTCAGAGTGGCCAAACTAGCCAATCATAACATCAGAATATTAAGCACCTGAGAGAGAGCAAACCTCCCAGAACATTGCTTTGTGCCACGCCTGCTAGAAATACCCAGGTGGATAACTTTTACAATCAGAAGTTCCTCAGTTGCTCACAGCAAATTCCACAACAGAATTTACAAAGACTTACAACTAGAAAAGTCATACCAGGTAATTTACCACACCACAGAAGGATTAGTCTCATGGGAGATCTCAGTCAATTGACATAATATAGTCCATAAAGTTATGTTTTATATCCTAGTTTGATGGGTAGTGTCTGAGGTCTTAAAAGCTTGTCAGTGGCCATCTAAGATACAACTATTTGTTTCTACTGGTTTGGAGCAAAAGAAAAAGAAGAAAACCAAAGACTCGAAGAAGAAATTAGTCTGTAAAACAAATAGTCTGCACAAACCATGGCCTTATCAACCCCGAGACCAAAAGAAATAGATGGCACCTAGCTACTACTGCTGATCATTCTACCAGGGCCACAATAAATGGAAGGGGAGACAAATGTGGAATAGAACCTCAAATTCCTAAAAAAAAAAAAAAGAAAAAGAAAAAACCAAGACCTACTATACTGGTTGAGTTTGGAGGGCTCTCCGAGACTATTGCCCTGAGAGAATCTTCAAATCTTGAATTGAATCTAATCTCTGAGATCATTTTGTGGGTAAGTAACAAATTGGCTCAAAAAATAACAAGTATCACAGGTAAATGCTATGGTCCTTTAAAAAATCACCTATATGAAACCAAGCAGTCAACAATTGCTTTAAACAAAGAGGAAAACTTAAGGGAGCAGGGGAACTAGGCTAATGGAAGGATAACAACCCAACAGAAATAATGAGAATGTTCACATATTGTGAAGAAGGTAAGTAATGTCATTGAATAGGTTGGGTAGTAATTCTTGAATGAGAGCCTAAACTTCAGTGTAAACATCCAATGACAACACAATAAAATATTATTATTTAAAAAAAAAAAAAGAAAGAAAGAAACCTTTGTTTATAAATCTGCACTTTCAGTATCTATAAAATCATCTAGCTTGCCACTTCCTCTGAGCAATGATGGCAAATAAGTCTTATCTTGCTTGCCAATCCTAAACTGTGGCTGCCTGAAATGTTGTGTTGAGTAGAATTCTCAGGTAGTTTTTGGACTTAGTAGGAAAGAGTTCTGTAATCAAAGGGTAATATCTTATTGGAACCTAGAAGGAAAAAATAGTGGCATGTATGTTTGATAGATGTGGTCCCTGTCCTGGAGAAAACCTTGAAATAAACCCAAAGCCATGACCTGACAAGAGTTTGAGGATCTTGTTTACAGACCTGGTTTGGTGGAACATGAAATCCCGCTGACCAGTAGACGGTCATTCCTAAAGAATAGACGTGCATCTGCCAGAAATAAAAGCACATGATTATATTTCAGTCATCTCTGTTCTCCTGTGGTCCTGCAAGCAAAACTCAGTTTTTAGGCTAGCCTAAAAACCATCTGAAACTCCCTTCACCTTTGTTGCTTCCTACTCTGGAGAGCCAGGAATATGCTTTCTAGTAGTGATTGTACCATATAATTTTGGCTAAAGACATAAGAGGAGTCTGTTTAGGGGGTTGCTGAAAAAGTTTTTGCTTTACTGACAAAAGGAAAAATGTGGCTCTTTCCACCCTTCCCCTATTGTTCCTGTCTTGAACACTGATGTGATACATGGAGTCATAAACTAAAACCAAACCAAACTCACTGTCATCGAGTCTACTCGGACTCACAGCAATACCCAAAACAGTAAATCTTTGCAGAAGTAGATTGCCCAGTCTTCCTTCCATGGAGTGGCTGGTGGGTTTGAACCACCAACTTTCTGGTTAGCAGTCAAATGCCTTAGGCACTCAGCTACCAGCACTCCTTACACGGAGTCACAGCAGCTATCTTCTCAGCCTGAGGCAACAGGCAGAACAGAATGGAAATATCCAGCTGGATCATTGATGACATTGCTCAGCTGCGGACCAATCCCTGCACTTCTTGTTAAGTGATTCATAACAGTATGTGCTTCAGCCACTGTGTTTTAGGCTTTCTGTTTCTTGTCCACACCATTTTTACCTGACATACTATGGTTCAGCCTGATTAAAAAGCATCATGTCTTGTCAGGAAGCAGAATGACAGATGAAAAGAGCATTGTCTGACCTCTCTGAACCTTGGTATCTTCATCTTTAAAGTAAGCATTCTGCCTGAAAACTCTTGAGAATTGAGTGAAAAGTACCAGGTGATGGTAATAATAATAATAATTATTATTATTGTTGTTCTTGTCTTTATTGTACATAGAGCACTTATACACTAGGCCTTGCTCTAAGTGTTTTGTTCATATTAATTTATTTAATTTTCACAAACCCTGAGTTAAATATTTTTATCATCTTCATTTTGCGTAGGAGGAAACTAAAATAAAGACAAATAAGGGAACTTGGCCAAGGAAGTCCCAAAGGTAGAACTTGAACCCAGGCAATCTGGCACCAGAGTTCCTACCTTTAACCATTCTTCTATGTCACGTCCTCAATAAATGTCAGTTTATTATAATTTTGGAGCTTTTATTATAACTGACAAGGCATATTTCTCTTAAGATATCTTTATTCATGAATTAGGAGACTGGGAAAGGGATGTAGACAAAGACAAAGAATTTATGAATCACAGCCTAGTAAAGCACTGAGTTTAATACATGTGATGTTTGTTTTTTGTTGTTTACATTTCAAGGCCTAGGGCATATGTTCAGTGTCACATGGGCCAATTAGTTCTGTTTTGATCTGAAATTGAACCATTAGATCAGTCAACCAGCCCTCTGATGAATGTAGCTAGTTTCAAGACACCAAGGCAGGAGCGTTCACAAGATGAAGATGGACCCTCGTCTCCAGATAGCTGGCCCTGAAAGCACATGCCCCAGCAGTGTCCTCAGCACTTCTAGAGGCACTGTCCACACCTCAGATCCTAACTGGGTGCCAAGGGATCCATCTAAAAGTGTCCCAGAGCAAGGCATAGGACCACAATGACCACAGACTTCATCTCAAATACCAAATCTGGCCCATTAGTAGACATTTCCTAGAGAAGAATGACCCTCCTGGTTCAGTGAGGAAAAAATGCTGTGATCAATTGGTGATGTCTACCATAAGCATAGGATGGGACAATGGTAGCACAAATGACTCATAATTATAGACCTGCTCATGCCTTCCACCTCCTCCTCAGTCTAAAATGCCAAGCAACTGAGGAGAAATGTCTGAGTGTACTGGTTAGAGAAGGGTATTGGCCTGAGAAGAGAAAGAGTCAGCGTGTACCTTCCTAACCTCTGAATGGGGCCTGGGGCTTGGGGAGCAATCAGAGCACAGCCCCCTCTGAGACCCCTTTCATGATTGCCCAACCCAGCCCCAACAGGATCTGTGCCCAACTGGATGAAAGACAGGAGCCTGTGACAATTGGAAAAGAACAGCAGTTAACAGAACTGAGTATTAGGGATGCTGTCAGATATCAAGTGCTCAGTTAACCCTGCTTCTGAGCTTAATGAACAAGGGGAGGCTGGCAGCTTCTTGCCCCTTAACCCTATTCTCACATGCCATATCTCATAAGCCTAGAGAGTTAATCTTCCAACAAAAATAGCTGTTTGGTTCATTCACAATTCAGTCCCTCCCCACACTGGTTCTCTCCCAGTTCAAATGTACCCTTATCTGCTAGACCCAGACTTTCAACTTGCTACCTCCCCAGTTCTTAATCGGACTTCTTTCTTTAGCCTCAGAACTTCTATTTCCTCAGCTGAGAAGACCTGGTTCCTCCACACAGAGGCAATTGAACAGGAGAAAGGAGTATGTTTTTCTCTAGCTCAGTTCAAGGATGCTCTGAGCAGATGTGTGACTAAAACTTCATAAGGTTGTCAATGGAGAAAAATCTGTGGTCATGATGGGGGATGAGTGCTGAAAGAAACCCAGGCAGGTCCCTAGGAGTATTCAAGACCTATCTTAGCTCAGGCCCTTCAGAAAGCAGAGCCTTAAAGGATTAAGTGCTAATACTTCATCCAGGAGCTGTAAACCCAGGGCAATGTGCTGAGGCGCAAAGAGAAAAGGAGGCAAGGAAAAATGTGAAGGGTCACCATGCAGGTCATGTTCTCACAATTAGCTACAGGCACTGTAGCAAACATGTCTTTTGACACTCAAGACTTCTCTGAAAGGCTTCTGTGGATAAACAACATCTTGAAGCAGTCCACCGAAGAGAAGGAGGAAGGAGAATTTATGGCCTCAGTTGCTTGCTTTCCAGCTCTCGTTTACCATTGGTTAAGACTCATTCTGTAGGAAACTAACTCCCCTGCATTTTTCAGTTGCATTGATAAGCCCCTTTAGTGATTGATAGACCCCAGCACTCAAGATTTGAATTTTAGCTGAGTCCAGAGTGCAGGAGGCAACTTGAAGTGGGTGGAGAATTGACAGAGAGACTCAGAGGGGATCTGAGAAACACTCACATTTGAATCCAAGGCAAGAGTCCAATGATTGACTCAGGGACTCTGGCAGCATAAGAAAGGATACATGATGCCCATATAATTGCCAATGGGGTGATGAAGCCAGACCTATTATGACTGGGACTGTCAGGTTTTTATTGACTTAGAGACACATGGGCCCAGACATATGAAAACGTAGAAGCCACCAAAGCAGGGCAAGATGCAGAATATTTAGTAAAAAGTGCAAATCTGAACACTCTGCTCCTTGACTCAAAAGGCATCCCTGGAACTGTGGCTGCTTTTCCTTTGAGTTCTCAAAACCTGAGTATAGGGCCTCCATGGATTCTAACTTTTCATATTTCTGGGTCACGTGCATCCAAGTCAGAAACAAAACATGCCCACTAAGAAAAACAAAAGTATTACTGATGTTGCCATACAGAAATAATCATTGCAAACATCTTGGTATATTATATTTCCAGAAATTTTTCTACATGTGTACACTCACCCAAAATGTGTAATATATATTTTGAATTTTATATTTAAATCATTGAATAAACATCTTGCTATAAACTGGCCTCTGATGACTGCTTTTGCTGTATCGTAAAGATTTTGGTATGTTGTGTTTTCATTCTCATTTGATTCAAGGAATTTTTGAATTTCAATTTTCATTTCTTCTCTTACCCAGTCTTTCTCAAGGAGGGTGTTGTTCAGTTTCCATGTATTTACTCTTTTTCCATTGATCTTCCTATTGTTGGTTTCTAATTTCATAGCATTATGATCTGAGAAGATGCTTTGCTGTATTCCAATGTTTTTAAATTTATAAAGGCTTGCTTTATGGCCTAACATATGATCTATCATAGAAAATGATCCATGTGCACTGGAAAAGAATGTGTATTGTGCTGCTGTTGGGTGAAGTGCTCTGTAGATGTCTATAAGGTCAAGTTGGTGGATTGTATTGTTTAGCTCTTCTGCATCTTTGTAGAGTTTCTTTCCAGTTGTTCTATCTTTCATTGAAAGTTGTGTATTAAAGTCTCCCGCTATGACTGTGGGGTGATCTATTTGCCTTTTCAGCTCTTTTAAAGTCTGATTTATGTATTTTGGAGGTCTTTCATTGGGTTCATAGATACTCATTATGGTTATTTCTTTATGTTCAATTGATCCTTTAATCATTATATAATGTCCTTCCTTGTCTCTATGGTGGTTTTTGTCTTAAAGTCAATTTGACCAGAAATTAATATTACCACTCCTCCTCTTTTATGCTTGCCATTTGTTGATATATCTTTTTCCAACATTTGATTTTCAGTCTATTTTTGTCTTTGTCTCTAAGGTGTGTCACTTGTAGACAGCATATTGATGGGTTTTGTTTTCTCATCCAATCTGCAACTCTTCATCTCTTGAGTAGTGTGTTTAATCTGTTAACATTCAGTGTAATTATTGACAACTATGAATTTGTTGCTATCATTTTGTTGTGTTTTTTCATGGTGTCCCTGGTTTCTTTGTTCCATATTATTTTCTGTGCTGAGCTCGTTATGTTTATGAATCATGTTATCATTTCCTTGCTGTTGTTTTAGTATATGCTGAATATTTGTGCTTTTCCTCTTTTTTATTGTGATGTGAAGGTTTATCATTTTTCTTTGAGGTTACCCTATGATTTATAAATTTATCCCCGAGTTTAGAACAGTCCATTCTATCTTGCAACTCTCTTAACTTCCTCACCATTTAGAAGTTCTGTAACTACACAGTCTTTTCCTTCTTTTAGGTTTGTAGTTGTCCCCACTTGCCAATTGATGTCTCTGGTTCCCTGTTTACAATCTTGTAAGCTTATTTTACTTTGGATATGTCCATAGCTGTGGTTTCTGGGTTATGTCATCTTGTGTATTCATGGTTGGTTGTTATTTGCTATTTTTGGTTCTCTGTTCAAAGGAATCCCTTTAGTATCTCTTGTAAAAGTTGGTCTTGTTTTAACAAATTTCCTTAGTTTCTGCTTATCTGGAAATTCTCCTAATTTCACCATCATATTTGAGGGACAATTTTCCCAGGTATATAATCTTTGGTTGAAAATTTTTCTCTTTCAGGGTTTAATATATACCATCTCCTTGCCTTCTCACTTGCATGGTTTCTGCTAAGAAATCAGAGCTTATTCTTACTGGCTGTCCTTTGTAAGTAACTTTTTGTTTTTCCCATGCTGCTTTTAGGATTCTTTCTTTGTCTTTGGTTTTGATGAGTTTGATGATGATATATCTTGGTAATTTTCTTTTGGGGTCTACCCTCTTTGTGGTTCATTGGACTTCCTGAATGGATATATTCTCATCTTTCATCGTATCAGGGAAGTTCTCCTCCAAAAAATCTTGGACAATTTTCTCAGTGGTTTTATTTTTCTCTTCCTGTTCTGGAATTTCAATGATAAATAGATTATTCCTTTTGATGATATCCCACATGAACCTTAGGCTTTCTTCATTTTCTTTTCATCTTTTTTTCTGATTGATCCCTTTCTAAAGAAGTATTGAGATATTTGTCTTCAATCTCATTAATTCTGTCTTCCATTGTATCAAATCTATTCCTTTGCCCTTTCAATGGTTTATCTTTTTCTAACAATTTCATATTAATCTTCTGGATTTCCATCTGTAGATTTAGAATCATTTTTCATTTCTTTTGTCATTTTGTTCTTGTATTTTCTTCCAAAACTCTTCTAGGGTTTTGTTTGTGTTTTCCTTGGTCTCTCTCAATCCTTTGAAGATACCTAAATATAATTCTTCTGAATTCCTTATCAGAGAGTTCCAATGCTGCTTCTTCCTCAGGGATGTGTTCTGGGTCTGTATCCTACTCCCTTGTTTCTACCACTTTATCTTGCTTATTTGTGTGGACTGTGATGGTCTGTTGTCCCCAAGACATCATAGAATTGTTGTATTTAGATCTTTGTTAACTGTTTGGAAGAGTAGCCAAGGGTGAGTCAAACTCTTCTTGGTATTTGTTTATTGTTGGCCCATTGGTGAAGAAAGAAGTAGTGGCTCTTACTCAGTAAGTCAAGCTGCAGGAGGTGTGGGAGTAGTTGTGTCATATGGGGACTGTTGCTGTCTTCCATTCAGTTAAACAAAAATAACAATTGAATAACCGTCAAAAAAAAAAAGCAAATGGACAAAAAAAATATGCCATGTAATCACACAGGAACAGTAATTTAAAAAAGAAAAAAGGGAAAAAACCTGCAATATCTGGTGATAGGGCAATAAGAGAAAAAAGAGAAGGAGAAAAAAAGAAAAACAAGGAATGGAGTTAACCACAAGAAAGTAAAAAAAAAAAAAAAATTTAAATGCAACAGGGAAAAGAAAAAGAGCTGAAAACTGGAAACTGGGAAGGGAAGAATAAAGAATAATAGTAAAGAGGACAAAAGTAATAATAACAGCAGTAGTTTTAAAGCAGATAAAAACAAACAAACAAAAAAGCAGGAAAAAAAAAAAACATTGGGGCAGGGCAGGGCACACAGGCTCCGTGGGAGCACACAGACTGGGATGGAATTCCTGCTGGCCCAGAAAGTGGGTGGGAGTGAGGAATGGCCTCACCTCTGTTCACCAAGAGGGTGTGGGGTATAAGAGTAACAAGGGGAATGTCACACCTTCCCAGTCATCAGGGTTCAGAATGTCCTCAGGGTTCCTGGCAAGTGGAGCCTTTCTTAAGTAACCAGAATCTGGGAGAACGCTGTCACTTTAAATATCCAAAATGGTCAAGCTGCTTATGAGCATTCAAAATGGCTGCACCCTCCAGACAGACAAAAGTCTACAGCTCAGCCCACCTTCCTCTTCTCTGCTTCTCTTTCTATTCCCCAGCCACTAGAGCAGCTCTCTGTGTAGTCCCTGGCTAACAGTGCTGATTTTTAGGTTAATTCTTAGGTCCTACCACCACTTGGCAATATCCAAGATGTCTGTGCCATCAGGATTGCTGCCAGACTGCAGCTCCGTATATCTCTATTTTTGGTGTTTTCATGCAAATTCTTCTGCTAGTTAGAGTTTAGTCCACTTCTATATTCTTCCCTTCGAGGCTCAGGGGTCTAGGATTATCTTCTGTATCTGTGTTAATTGGTTCCCCTTGTCTTTGTTGAAGAGGGTCTGTGAAGTCTTTTTTGCCTATTCCGCCATCTTACCAGAATGCAATCATTAAATAAACTTCTATAGCATTATTTTAATAGCTGTCTATGTTTCATGTCCACTCTCATTGAACATTTAGCTTGTTTCCAATTTATCACTATAGTCAACAATGCAACAGTAAACATTGCTGCATCTAAATCAATTTTCACTTATGCCTTAGAATAAATTCTGAGACAAAAATTACTGTGTCATTTATAGAGTTTATGCTACATGCAATGGTACCAATGTATCAGACCGTTTAACCACAGCATCTCTAGCACTTCTTTCTAATATTTATGATAACTTGATGGATTAGGTAATATCACTTTTCAGGCGTAGAAATTGAGGCTCAGACAAATTGACATGTCCTTGTTCACAAAGAGTAGAAAGAAAGCCTGGGAATAAAATTCTTTAAACCAACACTGACTCAATGTTCAGAGCCAGGCTCCTTAAGCTGAGCTGGGTGCTTGGGGTGCCATCCCCAGGAGAGAGCCCAGGAAGCTGCAGAGAAGCTGCATACCTTACCTGAGACACATCAGGAGGCTCATCATTGTTTTGTCCCTGTAGCAGTTCAGGGGCTTTGAAAGGAGCAGCCTCTACGTGAGAAATATGGTCTTGGAAAGAAAGGCTTCCAGCCACAGAGAGCAGTGCCGACCAGGGGCAAACCACATAGTCCGAGGAATCTGAAACCAAGACAGTGATAAGGAGTTAAGACCCAGTGCCCCTGTCCTGGCATCTGTCCAGCAGGAGCCTAGCAGTCCCAGCCTCTGGGACAGACTATGAGCAAGACTGGTTAGAACATGGAGCAAAACAAATTCCATTCAATGTGCATGTGCATGTATGTGTTACAGAAATGAGAGTCTCAAATAAAAGATAAGAAGAGATCAGTTCCACCCAGAAATTAGCACAAGCCTGATTTCTCTGGGCCCAGACCTAGGACCAAGGTGCTAATATTCCAGAGTACTGTAGCTGTTCATTAGCAAGGAAGGAAAGGGAAGAGGAAAGGAAATGGAGACTCAAGGAGAAAATCAATGTGAAACTGCGGGTACCTCCTTCATTCTCCACATGCTGGGAACTGTCACCTGGACTGCTCATATGGGGAGCTGCTACTACATGCATGCAGCTCACAAGCATGTGTCATTTTTTAGTTGACATCTGAATGTGGGTCCTCAGTGCCCATGACAGTTATCAATACACTCAGGAAGAAAATCAACTCCAAATTCACTCTTCAATATCTGCTGTGCCATAATGACATAATTTCCTTACATGGCACTCCTTTACAGTGAACACAATGTTCAATTTTCCTTGTAGAGAGTGCTTGAGGGACTCACCTGCTGTTTCTGGTGGGTCAGTTGGTGGGCATGAACATACCTGGCAGTACTTCTCCTCAACTACAAGCCAGAATGTGCAGTTTCATCATGATCACTTCTTCTAAGTAATCATCTTCTCATTAACCTCTACACAGACTCAGTGCTCTAGCTGCTGCTCACATCAGCTCCCACAGCTATGGCTCACCCATGCCCATCTACACTCGAAGAGTCATCCCAACCCCACTCCCTCTGCACCTTACCACCTGTCCAGCAGTGGTGATTGCCTGTGCCCCATCTGCCCTAACCACAACCAGCCTTCTCCACAAGGTCTGAACCCCAGGCCAGGTAGGGGGCTCCCCTTCAGAGTTTGTCCTTCACTGGGTACTGCCTGTCACTCTAGGTGACCTTATATAGTTTTCTTATATTTTACGTTGTTGTTGTTATATACTGTCAAGTCAGACCCAACTCATAGAGACCCGTCCTTGGGTTTCCAAGGTGATATCACTATGGAAGTAGATTGCCCAACCTTCCTTCTGAGGAGTGGCTGGTGGGTTTGAACCACCAGCCTTCTGGTTAGCAGTCAAGTACCTTAGGCACTATGCCACCAGAGCTTCCTATATTTTATAGTTACTCATTTATCAGGGTTTAATAGTTCTTCATATTAACCTTCCTTGTTGACACCACACAGTGAATTTTGTCATCTGACAACAGGATGAAGACCATTACAGCATCCGTGAACAGAGTATAGTAGGGACAATTCCTATGTATGTCAGTGCTTTTCTTGGGTAGCTGCCCCTGCCTGGCCATCTGGCTCAGACTGCTCAGGTGCTGGAGAGGCCTGTGAAGTGCAGTGGGCTTTTGCCTAAGTAGACATACCCAGGAAAGTGGACAAGACCAAGTTAGAAGCAAGGTTTTTCTCCAAAAGACCTACCACAGGGCAGTAGGTGGTGGTCAGGAGAGCATGAGCACTGGCTTGCTTGTTCTAATGGTTGGACTCAACAGATTGAAAAGCAGTAGCCAGAGTATGTTTGTTTGGGAAGCTTCACATTCAACCACCTGTACTTCAGCTGCCCTGAACACACTCTCTTACCATCCTGAAGGTCTTCTAGGAGTTGCTCTGCAGCCAGGAACAAGAGGGACCAGAGTTCCTCCTCAGATAGAGCTTCTCCCCTGATCTGCAGGGCACTGGCCAGAGTCACAGAGGCTGGGCTCATGCCTGCAAAGACACATGGTGGCCAAGCTCACTACAGTATCAGCACCAGCCTCCAGCCCAGGCAATGGATCCTACACCACCCATTTAGTACGTGAGACCACATTCTCCCCTGTCACGGGGAAGGCACAGAGCTTAGCACACTGCAGAAGTTAAATAAGGGTCCCTTGGGGAGATGGTTTGTTGATCTTCAGTCAATCAACAAATGGGTACATGAATACATAAATGCATGAGCAAGTGAACCATAGGAATGACACTTACCTCCACACTGGCCCCCACTCATGACAGAGAACTACCTGTAATCAGGTAGGGTTTGTTGCTTACTTGCCTCTTCTTACTAGGAAAGTGGTTTACAACCACATATGCCTCCAACCAATAGCTTCATTTCTTTTCCTCTCTGTTGACACATACAGAATTGGATTTGCTAGCAGTACAAGCCCTTTCCCTAATGATCCCAGCATCTTCCTGAAGAGCCAGAATTACCAGAAGGAATAATCAGTGCCCACTTTTGGGACAAGTGCAGAGTCACAGAAATGCATGAGCACTAATGAACTGGAGGACTGGGTGAGGAAAATGATTCTTCTCTTCCTTCTCTTATTAGAAGAAACTCCTTCAATCAAAGCTAACATTTAAATGTTTATCCCCTGCTATCACCCACTAATCTCCATTGAGGAGAGCCCCAGGAAGACACCAAGCAGGCTTTTCATAATCCGTTGACGTCACTGATCTTTTTCTACACCCAGAGCTTACAGAGGGTGTGCTGTACTGTAGGTGGGGCAGGGAGCACGTTGAAGTACTACCATCTCTCCATCCAGTGCAGTAATCCAAGCTATTCACTCACCAACTAATAATAGTTAGAGGCCACCTGCCTCTAATACCAGGCTCCCCTTGTGTCCATCAAGAACAGAAAGCAACCCCAGGAGAGAGAGAGCTTTGCTCCTCTATCTCTTTAAAGGGAAACTACCCCAGATGCTCACCAGAAGGCTGGCGGTTCAAACCCACCAGCCGCTCCTCGGAAGGAAGGTTGGGCAATCCTACTTCCGTAGTGATACTGCCTCAGAAACCCAAGGAGGGGTCGCTATGAGTCGGGGCCGACTCCACGGCACATAACAACAACAACAACAACCCCAGATGGTACCAGTTGCCACTGAGTCAGTCATGACTCAGGGCAATCTCCTGTATGTCAGAGTAGAACTGTGGTCCATGGGTCTTCTTTATTTTTTTTATTTTTTCAATTTTTCTTGTGATTTGGGTGAAAGTTTAAGAGCAAATTCACTTTCCATACAGCAGTTCACATACACTTTGTCTCATGACATTGACTGCAATTTCCCACAATGCAACAGCTCCCCTCCCACTTCGTACTCACTTCCTTTTCCTTGTGTCCTCTCCTCCCAAGCTGTCTCCCTGTGCATACACAGCCCTTCTATTCTCCCATGATAGACATTCATATGCCTGTCTTTTGTTTGGCTGGAAGGCACAGGAGTGGCTTCAATTCCAGATCTAAAGGGCAGCTAGGGGCTATAGTCTCAGTGGTTCCATTAAGCTCTATCAGACCAACAAATCTGGTCCTTTTTTTTTTTTTTAATTATTTTGAATTATGTTCCACATTGTTCTCCCACTCTATCCAGGACCTCCTATGTAGATCCCCATCCAACTGGTTGACTGTGACAGCTGAGCACCATCTAGTTCTTCTGAGCTCATAGTTGTAGAGACTTAGGATAGTATGGTGTACCATTCCCTTGGATGAATTATTTTCCATGTCTTTGGTTTTCTTCATTCTTCTTTGCTCTGAATGAGGAGAGACCCATCGTTGCATCTAGGTGGGTGCTTGCAAGCTTTAAAGATCCCAGTCACGACTCACCGAAGTAGGATGTGGAACAATGTTTTTGTGTAGTATGGTATGTCAATTGAGCTTGATGTCTCGTGCAACTATGGTTCTGAGCACACAGATACAACTACTTACTCCCTGTGGGTAGCTGGCTGTGGCCAAGAAGTGACTACAAACTTGTCATTTGTCAGCTCTACTATATACCTGGGAATTCTTACAGAACATAAAAATACACTTGTAGAAACATTGTCTGCCAACCGTATACGTGGTCATGGGCACACTTCCCCCTGCCTAGAGATACCTAATAGTTCAGTCTGTCCACTATATATCCGTGTTTGCCTTCACTGACAATGCAGTATTCTATGTACAAAATGGTTCATCCTTGTTATGTGTACCTCACATGCACCTCTCTCTGTTGTCTTCTTCCTCAGTGCCACCATGTTTATCACTTATATTTGGTAAATTTCCCTTCTCTTCACACAAATCAATACTTGTCTCTACATATCTAACAGTGTTTGCTCCCCTCCTCTCCTTCTTCTTTGTTGGGTAACCAACAAAGAAAACTGTCTTCCATATACAAAACTTCCTTTGACTTTTTAAAATAACAGACTAATACAATATTTGTCCTTCTGTGATTGACTTATTTCACTCAGCATAATGTCCTTCAAGTTCATTCACATTATGTGGTGTCTTATAGATTCTACATTATTCTTTAGTGTTGCACAGTATTCCATTGTGTGTATGTACCATAGTTTGGTTATAATTCTTCTGTTGATGGGCACCTAGGTTGTTTCCATCTTTTTGCTAGTGTAAATAGTGCTGTAATGAAAATGGGTGTGCATGTATCTGTTCTTGTCCTGGCTCTCACTTCTTTAAGATATATACCTAGTAATGGAACAGCTGGGTTGAATGGTATTTCTAATTCCAGCTTTTTAAGGAATTGCCATACTGCTTTCCACAGTGGTTGTATCATTTTACAGTTGCACCAGTAGTGTATGAGAGTCCCAATCTCTCCACATCCTTGCCAGCATTTCTCATTTTCTGTCTTGTTCAACTTTTCTACTAGTCCTGGGGCAAGATGGTATCTTATTGTTGCTTTGATTTGCATCTCTCTAACGGTAGCGTAGTGCCTAAAGCACTTGACTGCTAACCAGAAGGCTGGCGGTTCCAACCCACTAGCCACTCCTCGGAAGGAAGATGGGGCAATCTAGGAAGATGGGGCAATCTACTTCCGTAGTGATACTGCCTCGGAAACCCAAGGAGGGGTCGCTATGAGTCGGGTCTGACTCAATGGCACAGAACAACAACAACAACAATGGCTAATGATAGTGAGCATTTCTTCATATGTTTGTTGACCACATGAATATCCTCTTTGGTGAAATGTCTATTCATGTCTTCTGACCATTTTTTAATTGGATTATTTGTCTTTTTTGGTGTTGAGGTGTGGGAGTTTTCTATACATTTTAGAGATAAGTTCCTTGTCAGATATGTCATTGCCAAATATTTTTTCCCAATCTGTAGGTTCTCTTTTGACTTTTTTGGAGAAATCTTTGGAAACCCATAAAAAAATTGATATTTAGAAGGTCCCATTCATCAAGTTTCTCTTCTGCTGTTTGTGCATTTTGAGTTATGCTTGATGATCTTTTATGCCATATATTTAAGGGAGCTCTGGTGGCATAATGCCTAAGGCATTTGACTATTAACCAGAAGGCTGATGGTTCAAACCCACCAGCCACTCCTCAGAAAAAAAAAAAATTGCCCCTATTTTTTCCTTGAGGAACTTTATAGTTTGAGGTTTCACAATTAAGTCTTTGATCCATCTGGAGTTAGTTTTTGTGTATGGTATGTGGTACAGACCTTGTTTCATTTTTCTGCAAATGGATATCTAGTTTTGGTGGCACCATTTGTTAATCAGACAATCTCTTCCCCAGTTAATGGATTTCAGCCTTTTGTCAAAGATCAGATGATCATAGGTCAATGGATCTATTTTGGGGTTCTCAATTCTATTCCATTGGTCTATGTGTCTGTCATTGTACCAATACCAGGCAGTTTTGACTACTGTGATTGTTTAGTAGATTTTGAGATCCAGGAGTGTGAGACCTCCTACTTTGTTCTTCTTCTTCAATAATGTTTTGCTTATCTGAGGTCTCTTTCCTTTCCATATAAAGTTAGTGATTGGTTTTTCTATATTCTTAAAGAATGTTGATGGGATCTGGATTGAGATTGCATTGAATGTATAGATTGCTTTGGGTAGTATTGATATTTTAACAGTGTCCAATCTTCCTCTCCACAAGCATGGTATATTCTTCACTTATGTAGATCTCTTATGGTTTCTTGAAGTAGTCTTTTATAGTTTTCTTTGTACAGGTCTTTTGTGTCCCTGGTAAGACTTATTCTCAAGTATTTTATTTTTTTGATAGCTATTGTAAATGGTATAGATTTCCTTATTTCTTTTTCAGCAATCTCTTTGCTGGTGTAGAGGAATCCAACTGATTTTTGGATGTTTATCTTGTATCCTGGCACTATTCTAAATTCCTCAATTAGTTCCAGTGGTTTGTTTTTACTGAGTCTCTTGGGTTGTCTATGTATAAGATCATATCATCAGCAAATAGAGATAGTTTGACTTCTTCCTTACCAATTTGGATGCCTTTAATTTCCCTTTCTTGCCTTATTGCCCTGGCTAGGACTTCCAATACAATGTTGACTAGAAGTGGTGATATAGGTCATGCTTGTCTGGTTCCTGTTCACTAGGGGAATGGTTTCATTCTCTCTCCATTGAGAATAATGATGACTGTTGGTTTTGCATATATGCCCTTTGTTATGTTAAGGAATGTCCCTTCTATTCCTCTTTTGCTAAGGGTTTCAATCAGGAATGGGTGTTGGATTTTATCAAATGCTTTTTTGGTATCAATTGATATGATCATGTGGTTCTTTTCCTTTGTTTTATTTATGTGGTGGATGATATTGATTGTTTTTCGACTGTTGAACCATCCTTCTCTCTCTCTCTCTCTCTCTCTCTCACTGCCATCGAGTCAGATCTGACTCATAGCAGCCCCTCCTTGGGTTTCCGAGGCCGTATCACTAGGGAAGTAGATTGCCCAACCTTCTTTCCAAGGAGTACCTTGTGGGTTTGAACCACCAGGCTTCTGGTTAGCAGTCAAGTGCCTCAGGCACTA